AGGATCGACCCGAACACCATTGCCCCTTTGCTCAGTGACCCTGGTAGAAAAGCGAAACCTCTTTTTTGCCGGCGAAACAAACCCAACTGAAAAGGGGACACGGGAACCGTTGAACAACTGAGAATGAATGTGCAAATTCTGATTTGTTTCCACGAAGAGGACCCCACATGCCAAAGACCTGGCCGCCCAGCGGCTTGGCGATGAGGTAGCACTCGTCAGCATCTGATTACCCGAGGCGCCGTCGTCGTCGCCTGACATGTCGGCCATGGGCGTGAAACCATCAGGGCCGGGTCAAAAACGTAAATGAAGTTCCTGACAAGTCCCGTAACCCAGGCTGCAAGTATATTGTAGCCGATTTTGAAAGATCATTTGAGAAAATAACGAACCCTTCAAATGGTTGCTCGCCCTGCAGCTCTCTCCCCCGCTTTCTCGCCCCCTCCCTCCGTCTCTCTCTCTCTCTCTCTCTCTCTCTCTCTCTCTCTCTCTCTCTCTCTCTGGCTCTCTTCTCCCTCTCTGGCTCTCTTCTCCCTCTCTGGCTCTCTCTCCCTCTCTCTCTCTCTCTCTCTCTCTCTCTCTCTTCTCTCTCTCTCTCTCTCTCTCTCTCTCTCTCTCTCTCTCTCTCTCTCTCTCTCTCTCTCTCTCTCTCTCTCTCTCTCTCTCTCTCTCTCTCTCTCTCTCTCTCTCTTCTCCCTCTTTTCCTCTCTATCTCTCTATCTTTCTATCTCTTTGTCTCTTTCTTTCTATCTACCTCTCTATCCCTCTATCTCTCTACCTCTCTTTACCTATCTCTCTATCTCTCCATCTCTCTATCTCTCTATCTCTCTATCTCTCTACCTCTCTCTACCTGTCTCTCTATCTCTCTATATCTCTATTGATCTATCGATCTATCCATCCATCCATCTATCTATCGGTCTGTTGGTCTATATATATATATGTCTGTCTATCTACCGATCGATCCTAGCAACATACCTATCTATCCTATCTAATCTAATCTAACCTACATACAGAATCTATCTATCTATCTATCTATCTATCTATCGATCTGTATCTAGCTCTCCTTCTCTTTCTCTCTCGCTCTATCGATCCATCTATTGTATTCTGTTTTATTGTAGTGTTGTCCTTTCATTGATTTTCTATCGATCTCTCTCGCTTTCCCTCTCTCTCTCTCTCTCCCTGTCTCTCTCTCTCTCTCTCTCTCTCTCTCTCTCTCTCTTCATCGCCATCTTGAGTGAGAGTGCCAACGGCAACGACGAGCAATCATTTTGCGAAAACTATCATAGTTCAGAAGCCGGAAATACGGAATCCCCAAGCAAGGGGTCGTCATCTTGGGCGAGCTCATTTATGATCCAAGAGTGGCGCCAAGAGTGGCGGAAGCAGCAGCAGCAGCAGCAGCAGCAGCAGCAGCAGAGGTCGCAGTGGCTCCAGCTCGAGGTTTTGGAAGCTCTAGCAAGTTGTTAGCGAGTGGTCCGGCGCACTGCGATCCAAGACTAGCAGCAACAGTCTCAAGTAGCTTCTCCTGTTTATTCGCAATCCAACAGAAGAAGCAATTGTTTTAAGCCGCAGCTAGCGGACCCCGGCTTGGGGTTGAAGGAGATTCGGCTAGTTGTCGTCATGTAGTTCATGAATCTAGGGTGCGCCATAGCCGCTTAAGACTCCTGCTCGGCGACTCAATTGACGCTCCAAATCGAGCCACGCCATCCGGTGCTTGCGGGCTCCAAGGACTCGATCCCAGCGCCCCCTTGGGCGACATGAAGCGAGGGGGGTTCAATTCCATCCTGGTTTCCTCGCGCTCAGTCCGGCCAGTGGTGACACTGTCCCTTCAAGGCTTGCGGGACGATCGTCGGCTCCCATTTTCTTCCTCTGGATGAGAAATCAATCAGAGTATGATCAAGTATGATCTCCCGCAAATCGTACTCAGCACTGACATAAGCTCACACTGGACTGGACGATCGCAGGCGCTGGCTGCCGGAGCAATCCTTAGACTGAACCAACTTAGAGCTCTCAGCCATCTGTGGCCAGGCACCTCGTGAATCAAACCTGATTCAATTAACCAGCCTCTTTCTGATGATACCTCCGGGCCGGGCCTTCAACTACAGTTCCTTGCAAAATTTGATGGCTGGTTTCCCCCAGCAAAAGAAACGCCTTCTTCAAATCAAGTCCTCTCACACTCTCAACTCGCGCCTGGGGAGCCATGAAGCTTGTCAATGTGCGTGGTGGAGAACGTGTGGCTTACAGAGTGGGCATGGCGTTGATCCGTCTTTTGGAAGGCGCCCGGGCTGCTAGCACGGCTCCTACCACTGGCACCTCATTGCACCAGGACATGCCCGAGAAAGTGAGGAATACAGGAATCAAGCTGGGCTTTATAAATTAAACAAGGGAACTCCATTTTCACATTGTTGCCGTTTTTTGTTTCTTTGTTTTTGACATGGAGGCTTCTTGCATGGATTCATGGTATACCTGACTGGGAAGGTGGCATGGCTTGCAGCAAGTAATTTCTGGGCACATTTGCACACTTGACCCGGTTGGCTCTCGTTTCTGGGGTGACGAGGTGAATGCATGCAGGCGCATGCAGCAACCACCCAACCTCGCTATGATTGGTCTCACCACAAATCATAGCCTGGCCGAAGTTGTTGCAGGTGACAAACGTGTGAAAGGTGCCCTCCCATAGTCACATGATCATTATGCCATGGCAGCAATAGAAACTGTGTCAAAGGGAGATAAAGGACACCCTTCGTTTGAAATACAAATCCAGGCGGCCCAGAATGCCTAGCACAGCCCTTTTGGGCTTGACCTCGTTTGGCGAAAATCGAACAGTGAACTGCGAGCAGAAACTCGGTCAAACAAAGTTCGGAAGCACACTTCCCCAAGAGACATCCGCACTGATCCACCGTGAGTTCCATATCTCCGAGCGGCTGATTTCGCTGCTGCTCGGCCCGCGGATTGGAAGTTCACAACTGTCGCTCTCGTTCGGGTCAGGCACTCCAACCGTTTCGTACGCCTCGCGAGGGGACAAAACCAGAGACACCCAACCAAAATCCTTGCATGTATATCCTATAAACATCACGGAGCATCAGTTTCAAATGCCTGAAATAAGCAAACCTTCTGAAGGACCTGCTGATCACAAGAGCTCTTACACGGGAACAGGGAAACAACATTTGGCAGAAAGGGCGCTACTGAACAACTGTTCCGACATGTTGCGCGCGATACGCACCCTCCACGCTGGACTAAGTTACACAAGCGGCAGTGATGCTCGAGGCGCGCGTTGCCCGAGGTGAGCTACTGAACAACTGGGTTAGGGCGTGCGTAGTTGAGTCATTGAGAGATTATGTTGACCCTGGGCTGCACGATGGGGAACCCCGACAAAACTGATGGTTCGCCTTGTGTTTTGCTTTGTAACAGCTAGCCGCAAAACACATGTGGGGCGAATACGAAGCTGAGGCAAAACACAGCGAGAGTCGCCTCCAGCAGCTGATGCCGGAAGTCTCGCAGCATCACCTGGGCGCGCGGTTTGCCTCGTCACTCTCATGTGAAAGTTTCATGGCTTGGCCAAGCAAATATCCCTGGCGCGGTCTCTGGTTGGTAAGTTGAGAGGCAAACATTCCCAATGTCCGGGTGGAGATGTTGATATTTTGGGTCATTGCCGATTGGAGGCTCGGACCATCAATTGGCAGGGGAGCTTAGCAAGGACCCCGCGGGCCAAATGGGAACTTCACCCCTTGACCACAGCAAATGGAACGGCCATAAGTGTTCCCATTTGACATCCGTTGACCACTAATCTGGAACCCACCAGAATTCACCTCCGGGATATGGGGTTCAATTTACCGCCAGGGCGGCGTCGCCCCTTTCAATTCCGCCAGGCGAAGAGGGAATGCTACGCATAGACGCATAACCCCTGAACAAGACCAAACAAGGCCCGGCACTGCCAATCCCAAACATTATTGAAACACATGGAATAGACTATTGAGTCTTGGCCTTCTGGAATTTGCTTCCCGCTGTCTGTGCGTTCTCCCGTGCGTTTCTCGTCAATCTGGAAATTGTTTCGCTTTTCGTTCTTCAATGTTCCTTCTGAGACGTAGTGTGTTTCTGGTTTGTTTGTCTGTTTGTTGGTTTACTGGTTGGCTGTTAAAACACATGCTTTGGGATGCGCGTTTCCATAATTCTTGTCCACTGGCCAGGCATTCAATCTGGATGTGGGATGTGCTGTCGCCACGTCTTCTCTTTCTCGTCGTGCCGTTCCCGGGTTTCCTAGTGTCCTTTTGTGACATCTCCGACTGACCGCGCAGAGGCTGTGACTCAGGCCCTCACATCAACGAGGGCCTCATAGGTCGCCTTTTTGCCCTTGCAACCGTCCATGGCGAGCTATGCCAGGGACTGCAAGGAGACCGGGTCACAGCCATGCTCTTTGCCAACATCTTTGAGCCGAGGTCGGAAGCGAGCAGCATCTGCCAGTGCCAGAGGGGACAAAGCCCAAATCCTTGCCACCTTGCTGGCACCATAAAAACCAGACCCCCAATTCCATTTCGGTTGCCACCCCCTGATTGCAGCGGTTGGCCCCCTAGCCCCTTGCAACAGAATTGGTCAAAGTTGGCTGGGGGTCAAAGCGGTGTGCTTGGGCGGTCCCAGGTATAATTCGACAAGAAAATTGCACTAAAGGACATCGGACACCAAAGCACGCACCCATCTTAAAGGTTCTGTGTCAGTTGCGTAGAATCAGCCTTTCCTGGCCATGTGACAGCCACTGAGGGCCCAATTCGCTCGCCGACCACACATCGGGGATAAGTCTTAGACCTGAATGCCCGGTGAATGATTCGTCAAAGGCACCAATTCTGGAAACAGTCCCTACACAGCTCCCCTAGATGTTCGATGCCCAATCCGCACCACACAATGCATGCTTCGTTGCAGCCCTCCATCCTGTTCGCTAGGAGCTCCAGCAGAGTGCCGGTTTTAGCTTGTTTCGGCAATATCAAAGCGAGGAGCTTCCTCAAACCCAGGCGCCCCAC